GATAAAAAATAAAAAGGAACCTAAAGAGGTTCAACCAGTCATTAATGATTGAATTTTAATATTGATTTATATTACATTAAACATGTGATGGATATATTTCATCTTTACAAAGCAAAAAATATAAAAATAATTTTTTTCTTGAGCCAATGGTTTAATCCAGAATGCCTCACGCTATAAATGACGCAACTACAAATTAATCCCTAAAACCATAAGCCAGTTTCTATTATAATCATTTCTTTTATACTAATATGTTGAAAAAAATACACCTACAGCTTTGTGGTTGATGTGTGACGTATCACTCTGCTTATCAAGTAGCTGCTGATCTAAATGATAAAAGTGTAATAAACATATATTTGAAAAGTGAACCAGATAACTGTTGCTCTTTTGATTTATTCTGAACATGATAATCTAACGCAAGCCTGGTGGTTTCCCCAGACTTGTCTAGATGTCCCCCCTTTAGTTTACAATAAAGTTTTCACACCCCTAAATCAACCTTTCTGTTGAATGAAGAAAACTTTAGTGAATATTATAAAATGCACAATAATCAATAGTCGGCAGTGCAAAGCAACTCACTTTGACCGATTATTGATTTGCACTGCCGACTGTTTATTCAGTACCAATTGTTTACATACACATTTGCAATAATGTACTTTACCTGTAATATGCAATTGCCTTCCACTGCACTTTCATATACAGGTGCTGGTCATAAAATTAGAATATCATGAAAAAGTAGATTGATTTCAGTAATTCCATTTAAAAAGTGAAACTTGTATATTATATTCATACATTACATACAAACTCATATATTTCAGATGTTTATTTTGTTTAATTTTGATGATTACAAATGACATCAAATGAAAATATCAAATTCATCATATCAGAAAATTAGAATATTGTGAAAAGGTTCAAAATTGATGGCCCCTGGTGCCACACTCTAATCAGCTAATTAACTCAAACCACCTGCAAAAGCCTTTAAATGGTCTTTCAGTCTAGTTCTATAGGCTACACAATCATGGGGAAGACTGCTGACTTGACAGTTGTCCAAAAGACGACCATCGACACCTTGCACAAGGAGGGCAAGACACAAAAGGTCATCGCTAAAGAGGCTGGCTGTTCACAGAGCTCAGTGTCCAAGCACATTAATAGAGAGGCGAAGGGAAGGAAAAGATGTGGTCGAAAAAAGTGTACAAGCAAGAGAGATAACCGCACCCTGGAGAGGATTGTGAAACAAAACCCATTCAAAAATGTGGGGGAGATTCACAAAGAGTGGACTGCAGCTGGAGTGAGTGCTTCAAGAACCACCACACACAGACGTATGAAAGACATGGGTTTCTGCTGTCGCATTCCTTGTGTCAAGCCACTCTTGAACCACAGACAGCGTCAGAAGCGTCTTGCCTGGGCTAAAGAGAAACAGGACTGGACTGCTGGTGAGTGGTCCAAAGTCATGTTCTCTGATGAAAGTAAATTTTGCATTTCCTTTGGAAATCAAGGTCCCAGAGTCTGGAGGAAAAGAAGAGAGGCACTTCATCCACGTTGCTTGAAGTCCAGTGTAAAGTTTCCACAGTCAGTGATGGTTTGGGGTGCCATGTCATCTGCTGGTGTTGGTCCATTGTGTTTTCTGAGGTCCAGGGTCAACGCAGCCACATACCAGGAAGTTTTAGAGCACTTCATGCTTCCTGCAGCTGACCAACTTTTTGGAGATGCAGATTTCATTTTCCAACAGGACTTGGCACCTGCACACAGTGCCAAAGCTACCAGTACCTGGTTGAAGGACCATGGTATCCCTGTTCTTAATTGGCCAGCAAACTCTCCTGACCTTAACCCCATAGAAAATCTATGGGGTATTGTGAAGAAGAAGATGCAATACACCAGACCCAACAATTCAGAAGAGCTAAAAGCCACTATTAGAGCAACCTGGGCTATCATAACACCTGAGCAGTGCCACAGACTGATCGACTCCATGCCACGCCGCATTGCTGCAGTAATACAGGCCAAAGGAGGCCCAACTAAATACTGAGTGCTGTACATGCTCATACTTTTCATGTTCATACTTTTCAGTTGGCCAACATTTCTATAAATCCTTTGTTTTTATTGGTCTTCAGTAATATTCTAATTTTCTGATATGATGAATTTGAGATTTTCATTTGTTGTCATTTGTAATCATCAAAATTAAACAAAATAAACATCTGAAATATATGAGTTTGTATGTAATGTATGAATATAATATACAAGTTTCACTTTTTAAATGGAATTACTGAAATCAATCTACTTTTTCATGATATTCTAATTTTATGACCAGCACCTGTAGATAGCTTCTGTCCAAACTTTATTTATTCATTTTATAGTAAAACCCATCTGTATATATGCTAGTGTACATAACTGTAAAAACCCTTTTTATAGTAACATCCACCTGTATATTATATTCAATACATATCCGGCTGTAAATTTAGTTCATAACACTAGTGATCTATATATTATATTCATTATTTCTAATGGTATTCATCTCTATACTCATTCAGTAGAAACCTATGTCTTATATTTATGGAACCATTATTTTTCCTGCACTTGCTGCTATTGCACTTCTGGTTAGACCTAAACTGCATTTCGTTGCCTTGAACCTGTACCTGTGTAATGACAATAAAGTTGAATCTAATAATAATAATCTAATCTAATCTAATTTAATTCACAAAACTCCCATCTATAGTGTATTTATCTTTAGTTAAACTGATTATTTTTTACTGTGTAACAGAATTCTTCATTGCAATCGATATTTTTTTAACCCTTTATAGGGCACTCTGTGAAATACTTTGAAAATCAAAATTTCAAGCCAATGGTGTTATTTGGAATCCAGGACAAGACCTTATTATTACCTTTGTAACTTTCAAAAAATATGGATATTTTGATGGCAAAAATCAATGTAATAAGATACGCCAACTTGCCCTACTATTAAGAAAATAAAAAAAGTGAAAGAAACATATTTTGGTACAACATAACCTTAGAGGCATTAATGCTGATATGGGCACTTACATTTTTTAGTGTATAAACCTAAATATAAATAATAACTAGGATTATTAACTTTTGAACTTTACCTTTTAACTTTTCAATTCGATTTTTTTTCCTTTACTTTAACTTTCCCCCCCCCAACTTAATTTACTGTAGATAATATATCATTGAAGGGCTCAAATAATTGGTCAAATGCCAAACTAAGATGTACAGCCATGTAGCAGGATCTTTGCTGAATGGTTGGATGTAGATCTTGTGCTTCTAGACCTCACAGGGGGAACTCCATCTGTAAGTTGTATGCAAGTGATCAAAAACTGTAACTTGCCCTATAAAGGGTTAAAGAAATGTATCTATATAAATTGACTTCTACCATAACCCCTGAAAACACACTGTACCCCCTCTCTGGGGTGCTCCACACTTGGGGCCCACGGCAGAAAAAAAAAAAAAACACAAAAAGAAGACGACCGTCTTTTTTAATAATTGCATTTTATTAATTGAAAACAAAAACGCAAATAAAATAAAAAAAAGCAAAAAAAAAAAAACAGTGTCATTAGGTAAGACAAGGAGAGAGACACAACAGTTCTTTGTTGTTGGGGCAAAAGGTGAAGGTGGGCCGACAAAGGGAGGAGGAGGCTGAGTTTTATCAGATGGGACATCTTGGATTATTTACATTTATCATCATTACAGGACCGGCAGATCCCCCCAGCATAGGACGGGGGTGGGACGGGGGGGCTCAAAGTAGCAGATCGGAGACACTGAAACACCAGAGAGAAAGGCACTATCCAGAGAGAACAAGAAACAGAAACAAAAGAAGGAGAAAACAAACTGAAAACAACACGCACTGGAACGGACGAAAAGTTGTAAATAAAAAAACAAAACAGAGAAAGTGCTTGACCACACGCCACACTGAACACAAAAACTAAAGTCGTTTACATTATTTTAGCTGATCTCTCAACTTTTAGGATAAAAAAAAAAAAAACAACAAAACGAAAAAAAACAAAAAAAAAAACAATCTCAGTTTTACGAATTGTAAGCCTGCAGGTCTGCACCGGCGCTCACACAGTGTGATTATCCAAACTAGGCCCCTTTGTTGCTTACAGAGTGTCCGCTAATGCATGCATTGAATGTGTCTAAACATGACCGTTAACTACCTGTACACGTCCGTACGGACCCACTCCCTCTAAACGAATATTGACAACACTATTTTTCAGCATGTCTTTTGAAATCCCTTGTGTGGTTCAGCTCTCCCAGCGGGCTTCCCTCATGTTTGTCTGTAGGTGCAGGCGGCTGAACAGCGGCGGCTGCGTTAAGGTAGCTGGCTTTATCAGCACCGACGGCTCATCTTGCTGGTCATTATTAGCCTTCTGATTCTTTCAGATAACTAACTTTACTTGCATGGTAGACAAAAAAAAAAAAAAAATAAAAAAAATCTTCTCAAATTGGAAGTTATGAAGCCTTAAATGTCATCATCCAAGAGAGCTTGGATAAACCAAAAGAAATAAAGTTGACAATTATCACATTCTAGAGCTACTAGGTCTTTTATAGGCTAACAGAAGATTGAACATAATTTACAAATTGAAAAAAAAAAAAAACTTGTGAAGAGGTAAAACAGACAAACATACAAATATATAATATATATTCTTTAAAAAATGGATTCTCTCTATACGTGATTCATTTATAAAGCCGACAACTGATGTACAATGCTCACATGCCGATGGTCTTAAACATGGAAACTAGCTGTGATGGAAAAGTTGGCATCACTCCTCTTTTTTTTATTTTATTTTCTTTACATTTTTTAAAAGTTTTTTTTTTTTAATTCTTTTTTATTTTCCATTTTTCTTTAAAACAAGTTACGGTTTATTGGTAGAGGATTCACTGACGTGATTCGAACGACATGCGGCAGAGAAGTAAAAAGGAAAAAAAAAACAGGCAGAATGTTAAGAAGTTGAGAAGACAGAAGCAGCTGTGGGAGCGGTTCGATCATTTGGTTATCTTCACGGTTGGTGCTCTATGCTTTAGTTTTTTTTTTTTTCTCCTGTGTTTTTATTTCCCTCAGGACAGCTCAGTCCTCGCCGAGGCGTTCAGCAGGGAGGTGAACTTTCTCAGCGCGGATGGAGGTCGGGTTTTGCTCTGCTGCCGCCCACATAGCTACGCCTACGGCAGCTCTTACTCCTGTTTTCTCTCTTTGTCTATTTCAGTTATTTGCCTTCTTCTTGTTTTATTTGTATCCCCGTGGGATGGCCCAGAGAGGTGGAGGGTGGGTTGGATGGTTGGGAGGATGAGATCAAGAACGGTGGTGATAATGATGGTGGTGATGGTTAAGCTGTTGTGTTGGTCAGAACTTTTTCCTTTTCTTTTTTTTTTTTTACATGTTCCGGTTGACAGGTGTGACGTAGTTGCGGGGGAACATGCCCGTTTGGCCGTGGCAGCCTCCTTTCCACCAGTTGGGGTCAGAGTTGTCCAGGACTTGAATGAAGTCGCCGCGTCTGAACCCGAGCTCGCCTTCCTCCTGGGGGTCAAAGTCGAAGAGCGCTTGAACGTACGTCGGGTGCTGGAGGGGAAGAAAGAAAGGATAGAGAGAAAGTTAGGTGGAGGGAAAATGCTCATTTTAAAAAAATTGGACGCATTTTAGTAAAAATGCTCAACCTGCCTCCAAAATCCTAAATTGGTAACTTCCAACCAAAAGGACTCCAAATATATCAAATAGTAAAAAAAAAAAAAAAAAACTCCGCAGCCAGAATTGGTAGAAAGGGAATCCCACAGCATGATGCTGCCACCACCATATTTTTTTTAAAGTCCTATCAGAAATGCTTTGGGAGAATTGAACCAGGCCTGGATGTTTCTGCTTGGGGAGGATTGAAGACGACCTTTAGTGTTGCACAGAAGCTAGGGTCTGGGTTTAAACGCTGCCTTTTAATCAACTGAAATTTCCGCTTTTAGCAACGCCGCTTTCGTTCCTGACGTCGGGGAAAATCCCAAAAGGGACTCTGAACTAAATTTCAGCTCTATCAGAATCCCTGTGGCTCCTGTAACCAAAAAACCCCCAAAGGTGGAACTGAATCAAGAGATTATATAAAGATTACAGGTAGATGCATGGCTAACCAACCAGGTGACTGCACTTTGGTTTTTACCTTCTACTTATGTACATTTGTACAATCCCTCTTTAAGAATAAAAATCAAATATATATGTTTTTACTACGAAGTTGACACTTCCCTGTCATACTCCCTCCATCCTGACTAAAACACACTCAAAGCTGCTCTCACTCACTCTTTCCCCCTCATCTTACCTGCAGCATCATCGTTTCCTCTCTGCCTTCCCCTGCTGCCGTCCTTAAACCTTGCAACCTGCAGCCTAACCGCCACTGAAACCTAAGGGGTGTTTTCTGTCCTTTTAATGCAGTTCATCTTGAATCTGCGGAGGTGGAGCTAAAACTGCACAACAGAGATTTAGACACCTGCAGGAAGTACAACACCAGCTGCTAGTCCTAAACCCACAACAACCATCTCATTTGATTTCTTTCTTTAATGAAATGTTTTTGCATTAAAGATGTGAATAAAACTGTGGAATGGTGCCTCCATTAAAACAGGATCAACGGATGATTTTGATGCTGCAAAGAGAAACTTTAACTTTAAATTTCAGCTCAGTGAAGAACTTCCACTGAGTTGTACAAGAATTGTGCTTCAAATAAAGATTTTGATATTGACCAGATTACAAGTGAACCATCTAAAGTAAACCTGTAAAACTGTGGGAATAAAAAAACAAAACAAAAAGAAATTGGTGCACCAGTGTGACCACAGCAAAACGTTCGTGTAGAGCCTTGATGCAGAGCCTGTGCATGCTGCAGGTAACGTTCTGTGGCTTGTGGCATTTGCAGAACATGACAGACATTTCTCTCTCAGAGATGAATCTAGGTTCAATACGACACAAGAAATATCAAGGCTGCAGCCTTAATAAGTAAACTACACGAAAGCTTTAGTTTCCCCCCCCTTTTTTAAAAGGTAAAGCAGAGTCTTTTATGTTTTCTTATGTAGTGAAACGGTTTCCATTTTTTCTTTATTTTGATTATAAACTTGAACCCGTTTGGTTAATGTTTAATAAACCAACAAAGTCTTGGAAAACTGCAAAATATAAGGAAACAAATACATGAGAAGTGTCGTTTTTAGTTTTAGTGAACAGAAAATTAACACTAAAATGCAGACAACAGCGGTCAGTCGGGTAGACGGGAAAATACGTCAATCCTCCGTCTGTTTCTGTCACTGCAAAGAACTGCCTCCAACTGAAAACTCGAGGCGTTGACCTCATGGTGGCGTCGTTTCTTACCTGGGTGATCTGCTCTATGTCTCGCAGAAAGATCTGCTGATTGCGGGAGACCGAAGTCGTGCGGTGGTAATCCACCAGCTCGTTGAGGGAGTTGAACTTCACTACCCAGAGGAAATACTTTCCAGCTCCGTCACGGAGGACCTTGAAATGCTGCACATCATTTCCAAACCTGAATAAGAGAAAAGCTGGATGAACATAGAAGCTTGGAAATATTCAAGCTACTCAGAAATGGACCTCCTACAGCTGTATTTAGAGTAGATAGATGTACAGCAGGTGGAGCAGGACGCTCACAGCGTCCTACAGAATGCTGTCTGGTTTAACTGTCTGAAAAAGTTATTAATTACCTTGAGGTATTTATGCTTTCAGCGCTAAAAGAGTGATAAGAGGAAACGAGCAAACAGAAGAACTACAGAGCTAAAGATAAAAGAGCTCTGCTGTAAAGGAAAGCATCTTTGCTGCAGGCTATAAGCTTCCATACTCCATGTGACTCGTATCATCCAATCGTACGAGGAGAATATAAATCTGAGTTCAGGGAAAACTGAAGCTGACTCAGATGTGTGACGTCCGACTGCTTCTACTCACTTCACAGAGAGGGAGAAGTCTCCTGGTGCGCTCTCGCTCTCTCTGATGAGAAACGCCCCGTCGTGCCTCTGTTTGTTTAGCATCTCCTCTGCTTTGGCTCGAGGAATCTTCCCAAAGAACCACCTGCAGGAGCAAAAAAACGACACGGTGAAATGTGAGCCGACTGATGTCATCCGAAGTAGTAGAAAGTTGAGGGCGAACAAAAGATTGGGCCGCAGGTCAAGCGTTTCTGAAGAAAAAAAAAACACAGGCGGCAAAAAGTTCGTCACACGGTGTGACGTAAAAGGTGTGAAGCGATACCTGGCAGTGTAAACCAAAGACTGAAATAACTTTTTTGAGATAAAATTAAGGAGGAGATGTTCAAACAGGAAATCTGAGTAATCAGCCTCATCTATGTTCAGTTTAATTTCCGTTAGCCTTTATTGGGCCTAATGTCAGAGCTGATGAAGGTGCTACAGGTGCTTCCTTTAATACAGAGCGCTCTTCTACGCAGTGACTCCGTTTTTTTTGTCCGTTTGTCGGCTCCAGCCCCCTAAAAACGTCCAGTCATGCTTAGTATGAAGGATTGCTGCAAAGTTAGTCTGAAGCAATTAGCTGCTTCCTGAGAAGATAACCTGTTACCTAATGCCATTATAAATAAACTAACTTTATATCTTTATTTTTAATTGGATAGACTTTAAACATGTTTTGAAGCACTTTAAGGAGGTATTTGTCATAAGTTGCTATTCCATTAATAAACTGAGCTGATGTGGTCACTCCCCGCCTTCCTCCAGCATGAATTGTGCAGCTCTGATTGAAGTATATCTGGAAAAGCCGAGGCATTTAGCAGCACCGACTGGTTCAGTGAAGACGACTGTCCTTCAACACAACCACATCTTGGCTGCTTATGTAACGACAAGGAAAAAGCAACTCTAACTTTTATAGATTCCCAGAATTAAATAAAAGATAAGTCATATGTTTCAAAGTTCAGGCAATAAAAATTGTAGGTTTAAAACATGTTGGAAAAAAAAAAAGTTTTTATCTGCTTATAGATTCATCACAAACTATGCTAAATTTTTACACTTGAGTGATGAATTAAAGAACTTAACTGAAATAAACTCTTAATCCAATTTGCATCTCAGCTCAGCAGGACAGAACGTCTGTTTCCGTGTTAGATCAACCCGATTAAAAAGAAAAGAGGAAAAGTGGAACTTCCAAATGCAACATACAGGTCTACAGTTATGAAAATGGGTAGTGTGTACTTATGATCACAAACACAAGCGTCGTTGCTAAACAGGGTCAACGATCTGTCTCCAAACAGACATGACTGACTGGCTGCTGAACCAGGCTATTGTCTGTAACTTAGCAAAGCAGTGTGGGCATGTCTGCTGGGACCCTTAGAGGCTCCGCACTTTTGGACTAGATCGTTTATCTAACAGCAAAACACTAAGATATCAACACTGCAGTAAATGATAGAAAGAATAATAATGATAATGGGAAATTCAACAGAATCAGTCCTCTAACGCTACATTCATATTGCCCCCCGGCGGGAGCAGCTAAAACGTGCGTGCCGCTTCATTTTGCACATGCAGTCAGTTCGTCCAGATTACCATCCTGCCTTCAAATATTATTTCGCTGTCAACCCCCGTACACCGACGGTGCTCTGTCGTAAGGAATGCGCCTCCTTTGGATTACGCCTCTACGTAATCCAAACTGCAGGCACCAGGTTAATAAAATCGAATAGGTTTTGCCAGCAGGTTTCGACATTTTAAATAAATTTAGGCGTTAAGTGTTTCAGAGGAGCCATCACAGCGATAAGCATCAGCAGCGCTGTGTTCGTCTCCCTGCCAGCTCCCAGATCAGCTTCTTTGATATGTAAAAAGTAAAATGTTTTCCAACTCCAGCAGCTGCTGCTTCTGAAGCGCCTTGTGCGTGTCAGGTTCTCAGAAGCTCATGACGCGCTGCTTCAGCTGCTCAAAACGCCCTTTTGTTGCACCAAGATGCGCGTCAACCATTGTCTTTGCATGGAAACTAGCTGCTCTGCTGCCTCTGCTGCTTGCGGTGTGAACGTATGTATCTCTGAAGGGGAGATGTGCACAGCTGGTACAGATGTGCGCTAAAAGATTTGCGGCTGTAAATGCACCAAAAGGTTAGGGAATACAAACACACAATAAACTTTTTTAGTTTTTCATAACAGTAAAAAAAAAAAAGGACAACTTAGAGTAGAATATACTAAAGTATTTTTCTGTGAGTAGGCATTCAAGAGACACACTGGTTTTAAACAGCTATAGTTTCTGAACCATTACAGTTTTAAGACATACGTGTTAAAGCCCCCTTAAAAAAAAAAGAAAAGTAAAAAGTCTACATTTTGGGGTGAAGTCCCCCCCCCCATTCCCTGTTATTCTAATATTTACAGAAAGAATCCTTGGAGAGTTAAAGGCTGAAAAAAGGCTGAAATCTAATACAATACAGTTAATAAGGCAATGAAATGTGAGAGTTAGGTGAGCATGCTAAAAGTCTAGAGCTAAAAATCTACAGCTTCTAATCACAACAGAGGCTAAATAATCAAGGTCAGCTGCTCCTTCAGCTAGATTTGTTTCAAGTGTTACTAGATGAGAGAGGTGATAGTATTGTATGGAATAAACAACGCATTTTTCTGTAGCAGCTTCTACCAACCATGATTAATCCATGTTGTGCTGTAGTCTTTAGCCATTAAGCAGATCTTGACATCTCTTTTTCTTCAAGCTAAAACGCTCTTTATTAGGGGATTTGTCTATTTTCTTAAATTTCTTTAGTTGCAAGTGTATTTTTCCTTTCCTGTAGGCTTTTATAAAACTCCCAGCTGGGTAGAATATAGATAAAACAATACATTGACAGCAGGCTTTTAGCTAGCAATGTGTATGGCCGTATATTGTACAGCCTTCACCAAAAAAAGAATAATTTTAAATTTTATAAGCGGCAGAGGCTGGATTTTGAAAATTTTAAATTTTGCTGCCACATCATCCAATCAGAGAAGTTGATCTGGGAGCTGGCGGGCAGACGGACGGCTCTCCTGATGCAGATTGCAATGACTACATCATTTGATCTCTGGTGTTTTATATACATAAAGACAGGTTAGTTAATTCGTAATCTGATGTTTTTTGGGATCATTTTTTATTTTTTGTTTTAAATGTTGGTGTAAATACTGTGCTCCTTTTGATCACTTCCTAGCTGTAATACACCCTAAATACATTTGCAGAGCACCTGGGATTCACACTGTAGAGGCTCATTCCAACTGGTAATGAAGGCCAAGAATATCTTCAGAAACCAACAGATCTGAGAGATTTATTGCGATACTAAATGGTCCAAGGTTACTTTAAGAAAAAGTGAACCAAGGCTCTTCTTACTGTAGATACAAACGATGGTAGTAAGAATATTATCATGTATAATGTGTTGAGGAGAATAGCCTACAAGCATCAGAGAAGAGAGGGAAATGAAACCAAGAGATACGCCCAGTAGAGTGAGAACAATCCTCCATAGAGTTACTTCTGACTGCGCTGCAGCAATGATGCAGTGAGGTCAATATTCAATTCAATCTAAGAGGCTCTGAGCACGTTATTAAAGAGAGAGGTAATCTGGCACCCAAAGCGGGTCTAGTGGGAAAGGTTTTCAACTATCCTGCCAGGTTTATCTTAAGAGGTTGTTTACAAACAACACCCCACATGCAACCGGTTCCTAGTCCAGAAATATTTTGCTTTTATGAACATTTGATGTTTTAATCTAGTGCAGATCATGTGCACTAACAAATACAACACTAATATTGCACAAAATTCAAGATTAAATAAACAACAAAGACCAGTGTAAGGATATCTGACCAATCTTGGATCTAGAGGATGTTGCATGTGATGCCCAAAAGCTGCAAGAATACAGTCTATTAGGTTCAGCAAGAAAATGAGATGGAAGCAGCAAACCGCACTGGTTTAGCTCCACGTGTTGATACTATTGCTTACATGATTCATGTGTTACATTAAAATTCATCAACTTGTATTTAAAAGAAAAAAAAAGGGCCAAAAGGTCTATTAACATGCTGCATTCAGTCCACGGTTGCACGTTAGGAGTATCTGATTTACATGCAAAGTCAATGATGTTGCGCCTCAATGGGCTTCAAGACATCTCGCTGAGGTGTCACGCACATCTTGCACTTTGTATTTTAGGTTTCTATGCATTTTACACTGAGGTTTTGGATAATGATAAAAAAAAATTGTAACTTTTGAGCCAAACAAGAACAGAATACCCAAGCAGGACCCTAATCCTGAGGAGCTGACTGCAGGTGAAGTTTTCAGGTGGAAATTTTGGCTCAAAAACGTGTTAAAACAAATTTTTTCCCAAATGAAAGCAAATGAGGCAAAGTCACACTAGAGTGATGGGAAAGAATAGTCCAGTATTAAGAGCATCTGACTTTAAATTGCACAAGCCTCCAAGCTGAGAAATTGGGATGCCTTTTGATGCTTAAAACATTTTCAATATAAACAAAGCAGCAGAAAATGCCCTCCTGATCAGCAGGACTAAAAAAAGTTAGCTCACACTTTGTTATATTTAACCAGGAAGGGATAATTTCTTATCATATATATATATATATATATATATATATATATATATATATATATATATATATATATATATATATATATATATATATATATATATATATATAAAATTAAATGACAATTTCTTTAAAACACTTCATAAACCAAACTGAAGTCTAATAGAACATCAAACTCTATAAAGAGTGATAAAAAGACAAAAAAAAAAAAAAATCACCATTCAGATCCGTTTAATCAAAAATGAACAATGCCAGACACAACCCAATAAAAGCAAACACTTTTTCCTCCATTTCTCTCAATCATTTAGCTTTCAGCTTCAAAGGACTAATTAGGCCAGAAAGCAGGGCTGGGCTTTATGTTTTCCACATGGGGACTTACTGTGGTTCCAAATGCATCAATCAGCCACATCCCTCCCTAAACGCTTTCAAAATAATCCCTTTAAAGGTGAGAAGCAAACTTATGGTGACAAAGGAACAAATTAAGCTGCATTCAGAGTCGGGTGTTAAATGCATAAATCTAGAAACTAAACAAAAGCATTTGGTTTTTGCTGAGTCATCAGTGGCGGTTATGGGGTCAGCTTTTAGTCACTGCAGTCGCTCAGGATGTTGAGAGCTACAGCTCAGCTGATAAATGGATTTCTAAAGTAGCCATAGGAGAGTCAGAAAGCTCAGAGGGTTTGGGACGGTGATACACAGACTCAGGGAAACATCAAGACACCAAACAGCTTGTTATCCCTGTGTGGCTGATAAAGGAGGCAAGTTATGCCTTTAGTTTAAAAGGAAAAGCCTGGTGATATTCAGAATTCAAACTTCTTAAAGTACTTAACATATAAAATTATTACACACTGTTCAATAAATGATATCTTTTTTCAATTAAGAGTAACTTTTATTTGAATGTGCTTCACTGAAACATCTATGTTTGTCAGAGAGCACTACTGCCACCTATCGGTTTGTGACGTCACGGTGCAGTATTGGCTGTTGAGCAAGTCCCAGTGCTGTGTCGGGTGGTTGCACAACTTGCTATTATCCAAGTCATCTTGAAATCATTCTTCTTCAAAACGTTGGCTACATATTACGTGTTTTTTCTCAGAAAGCATCAAACTCCTCTTCAAGTTGGCAATCTAACGACGAACCCGTCCATGGAGGACCATCAATCGGAAAAGTGAAATATATATATTTTTTCCACTTTTACCCGATGTATTCCAACATCCAGCTGCCATGCACATGGGCATTGCCAGTTTAACTATAGTTCTGGTGAATTTCAATGGTGAAGTCCTCTCGAAATCACAATAATTGTGGTTGATTGCAGATGTGTCTAGTAGTTCCCATTGATTTTGCTTGCAAAGTGGGGAGAACGGCGCTAGGCTTACTGCACCATGACGTCACTGCCGCAAGATGTCAGGAGTGAGGTGTTATTATATTAGGGCAAAAATGGCTGCTCCCAGACTCTGATAGCCACGAAAATGATTATTTTCATTTTTTTTACTGATTAACACTAAATTTATTTAATCACCCCAAATCTATTAGTTTTAGGTATCAATGATGACCCATTGGTTATTCCTCGCTGACCGGACTTTTCCTTTAAAAAGAAAAACATAGAACCTAAGAAATTAACGCTGTTCACAAGAATATTTTTGATCCGATCTCTGTGCTGCCAATTTAAACTTAGTCCTCATCTGAAGCATTTCTCATAATAGTCAAATATCTTAAATATTAATCTTTCAAAGTTTCTGCTCTTAAAATTTCAAACTTAAAACCAGAGATTTCTCCAATGTGTAGAGGCAGTGTTAGGTTACATTGTTAGCCACCCCATTAAAAGATTAAACTTAAAAAGTCAGATTCTGTACTTACGGATGGGCTTTCATCTCTATGTAATTCTTGGGAATGAATCCGTCTTTTCCGTTTAGTTCTGCCTTGTACCAGTTCTGATCGCACTCTTCATTTAACACCTGGAAGCAGAAGAAAAAGAACATGTCAGTCAATCTAAGCCGAAGAACACACACACGCGCAAAAAAATGCATAAATCATCTTTTGTCTACATAAACACATAGTTACATTTCCAACAAACATGCTATATGCCAAAGAACCCATGAAAGGGATAAGGCATAGAAATGTATTTTAAAAAAGCAATGGTCAATGTACAATTGGCTAACATGACACAGGCAGAGCAGATCAGTACATGAGCCATTCTGTGCGCGGAACTGACGAAGAAGACTTCCTTCAGATGATCAACTAAAGGCTGCATTTTATAATGTCAGTTAAGTTGAAGAAAATACAGAAACTTTTAATATTAGAACAACAAGCTAGGCATGGAATGTAAATGTTGATTGTTTATCGAAAAAAGCAATAGTTTTTTGCAATTCTTTACAAGTGGGGATGTTAAAAAATCCAGTAGAGTTGTAAAGCCATGATAATAAACTGTTATAAAAAAGTAGTAGTCCAGTCAATAATCTGAGTCTAATTTATTCACCGCAGACACACTGGGTATTAAGACAAATTTCCAAAAACAAACAACAAAAACATCCATAAACTATGTGACATTTGTCTTCACAACCAAATAGACTCAGAGATGATGGAAAACCAAAGATTCACAGACTTCTGAAGAAAAGTTACTGAAGTTTAGAAACTAATTTTCAAAACTAGAGGCTGGCATATAGTTCAGGGAGAAACACTGTTTAAGAAGCTGTTTGATACAAAACTCAAAAATAAACAACATGACCTCCAGTTCAGTCTGTGTTTAGCGTGGTACAGGATTACGTCCTTTCCTGTCGCTCGGTTTTTTCATCCATCGTCTGTTAAGCTGGAGCCAAGAGACGGCAGATTCAAGGTACGATTCCTAGAAACTGCATATCAAGTCCAGCCTAAAGGATTCTCCTGGACAACAATGACATTAAAGTTTACACCACAACTCAGTAGCTGTTCTGCATCTGCTCCTGTTAACTCTATGGGATTTCCCCCCCAGAGTTGTTCAGCTTTCAGGGTCTTGTATTTTTGATAGTATGTGTATTCCTACACATTTTCCTTTTAATTCTATAATATTAAGGATATTTTCTTTTAGAAAGGAAAGTAGTTTGGTTGTTAGACGGTACAATGTAGGAAAAAAATTCATATAAAGCTATTTAATTGTCCAACGAGAGCTATTGCTTGCTATGATGGACGTTATAAAAGCGTTGGGTGGATTATTCTGATTGAAGAGCTTTTCTTTTTTTTTTTATCACAGCAGATGTTTAACATCTGTTCATGCAAAAGGTTAAACTATAAACATACTGTGAAATGCCTTGTATAATAAAGAAAAGAAAGCATCTATTAGATAGAAGTATTTTCTCTTTCTATTGCCTCTTAAATGTATAATCTGCAGTGTGCCAATCCCAGGACAGCTGTCTGATTGGTCCGTGGACTATCGGAGTGACTCGGGTCTATTTGCTCCTGACCTTTCAGGATGCCAGCTGTTCCGGGTTTCCCCAGCTGTTAGTTATGCATAAGACCAGCATTACAGGATGAGGGAGCGGCCTTGGACAAGAATCAAAAGTGGTTCATAATCTGAAGCGGCCAAAGTACATGTGGCCATATGTACACTTGAGTTTGGGAATTTACAGGCACTGAAAAAAAATTGTATTAGAATGAAAGATGAAGCTTCTCTAATATAAAAGTAAATATCTTATGTAAATATGAAATGTAGGTTATCGATTACTTCATTCATCTAATGACTGACTGATCTTATATATCTAATAGCAGTAATTTCCTTAAAAAATAGAATTTTTCTTGTATCAAGAGAATCTTTCCATAACATGTAAATAATTGTTTTAATATACGTAGTAAACATTTTTTTTATTATTCAAAAATTATTAAAACTATTTATAATACTAATAGTAAATTTGTTTAAAAGAGAGGTTATAAATATAAAAACCATTAAATCGACAATAGTAAAACAATTATTGTTAACATCCCTAATGTTGATCTATGCAGCAAAGTTCAAGCCAAAACAGAAAAAAACAAAACAAACATAGAAACAGAACAAATCCCTATTGCAAATATTTCCTCAAAATCTAACGGCATTAATACCAAATATTTTCATCCTATTTTAATACTGAAACAAAACCACAACAAAAGAAAAAGGCAGACACCCTGTCTACTTTTAAGACTAGGCTTAAAACGTTCCTTTTTGATAAAGCTTATAGTTAGAGTAGCTCAGGTTATCCTGAGCTATCTCTATAGTTATGCTGCTATAGGCTTAGACTGCTGGAGGACATAGGGACCCCTATTTCATCATTCCATCTCTATTCTCCCACTCTGCAGAATCTGTTAGTTCAATCTCTAACATTATGCTCTCTCTGCTTGTTCCTGATAGTAGCTTAATCTGGTCTGTTCCTGTTTGGCTGTGACACCATCCTGGAGATAAATACCAGCTGTGCTGCTGCCATCAACACCTTTGTTTATAGATGTTGGAGATCAGCCTGTCTTTCAAAGTAGTCCTGTTTCTCTGACTGTGACTGGCTGGATGTGCCCTCCTCATCCTTGTCTGCCTGGCTGTGCGTTTCCTGGACGGGGTCGCCTTTTACAGTTGCCTTTTGTATCTCTGCTTCTTTTTATTTCTGCTTCTGTCCTCTTGAATCCCAGTTGGCTTCGGGAGATGGCCCCTCTCACCGAGCCTGGTTCTGCTAGAGGTTTCTTCCAGTTAAAAGTGAGTTTTTCCACTCCACTGTGGCTACAAGCATACCTAAAGTGCGGGATTGCCTTTGAGCCAAAGAGTCGATGCAATCAACGATTTTTCCTTAGATAGAAAACTTTTACTTAATTTGACTGTATGATCTAGAGAACTGTAAAGTGCCTTGAGATGACATGTGTTGTGAATTCGCGCTATATAAATAAACTAAATTGAAAAAAACACAACAGAACATATGGTGATCAGAAATTGAATGCAGCTGTAAGACTGGTACATGTTCTTTGTGTGAATTGGTAAAACTCTTGAGAATAGAATTCTATTTGATCAGAAACATACATTTTTTAACTAAAACAATCAAGTACCATCCCGTTTGCTGATTGGTCAGGCGGTGTAGGTTCAAATATATCATTGGGGTATTTAATTTTTTTCTGGATTGTACTTTTCATTTAAATGCGACCTATATAGTGATTTGTTAATGACCATAAGGTCTAAAATAAAGTGTGTTCCTCTTCTTCAAGTCTTGCTGAAGACACACACACACACACACACACACACACACACACACACACACACACACACACACACACACACACACACACACACACACACACACACACACACACACACACACACACACACACACACACACACACACACACACACACACACACACTCTCAGCTGTTTATTCTTAAGCCACAGAATTTTCCATGTAGGAAATTTATCAGATAAAAAACAGAAAAAAGTGATCTGCTTATGCTGACGTACAGTTAAGCTCATGTTTGAGCTAGTACAGTGCCCTGAGCGCACAGTCACGAGCATCATGTGATGCTCCGAGTGACTGGCTGGCTTAAGCTATGAATGCTGAAGTGAAACTAATCCAAAGAATCAGGCTCATCATAAAGTCCAGCTTTCCTGTGAGGGGTTGGGGAGGGGGGGGACAGATAAGGTGGTCTTCCATAACAACTAAGTTGTAGATTCCAAGGTGTGCAGTAAAAAAATGATTCTCAAATTTCTGTTAGAACAGTGGATCTTAAGGGAGGCCTTTAAATAAAACAAATGATATCATCCTCACTACAGGAGGCTTGAAACAACCATCATTAAGTATATTTGTACAGTAACCACAGCAACACACTGCAGACCTAATCACTCAGAATATATGACAGAGCTGCTAAAGCCTTTATTGAAATCACTGCTCTGGCTTTTTTTTTTTTTTTTTTTTTAAACATTATGCTGTTTCCTGTAGGGCTAAGCCAATACTGGCATAGTTCCTCTGTTTTGAAAGGACGTGTTAATACACATTTCAGAGCAGTTCTATCTAAGAGCTGTTCCGCTCAAACTTGAAGATGGTAAACTTGAATGTTGTGTTTCATTTGCCGTCCGAGGAGCTCTTTCTCCTACCCTTTGTGTTGTGATTATATTAAAAGCAGCCTGTATGTGAGCACAGCATGCATGGGAGGTCATATGACAGGGAGCCGCCGCCAGTGTCATTGCAAAGGTTTGCTGGTAAAGGGAAAACCCAGTTTTGCCCAAAATACAGTCTGCTTGCTGTGCACAGAAAATAGGCTATAATTGCTAAAAGCTGACTGTGCATAAAGCAGCCAGGCTGCTCACTGGGGACTCAGCTGAAAAGATCAGTCCACTCACAGCTGGTATCTGAGCTCGGGTTTGGACAGGGACGACCATACAGATCACCTCAAATCCATTTTACCAGACATTAGTGGTTTTGTAAATTGTAGAGGAACAAACCATTTACTGGTAATAGTAATTGCAGTGCTTCTGTTTCTAAGAACCAGCTTTTAAAAAACTTTGACTAAAGGGGGAAAAAGAAAAAAAAAAAAAAAAAAAAAAAAAACAACCCAGAAATATTTGCTTGCTTGGCAATTTTTCAAGCGATCAAGACGACAACTGCATTTCCTTTTCCCTAAGTGAATATTAAAAGCCCAAAAAGAAACATTGATCTGCTCCGATTTTTTCCAGTCTTTTTAATCTGGTTGAGGCACAATAGCTGTAAGAGTTTCAGTTTGACAGGGTAAAGTCTAGGCTAGGGATTATCTCCTCCACAGCTGCCACTGTCCTCTTCCTCCTCCCCCCACCTTCCCCATAAGCATGCAATCTAAAAATAATATAGAACTTCTAGCCGCAAACCCATGTGCGACAGTCAGCTATGAATACGTGGCACATCCTACTCAACTATGGTACTTGTAGGTCTGAAAGTTTTTGTGAAATGACTGATTTACTGATTTTCTGATGGAAGGTTATTTGCTTGATCTTTCTCATAATGATTA